GTCTTTCTAAAATGCAAGAGATTGGTTTAAATGGAATAAGACAACTTTAGGTTCAACTATAGTCAGAGCCTTAGAAACTGATGGAATTCAGGACTTTGGAAATTAGGGCAGGTATGTAGGTAACGAGGGCTATTTTGAGATATGACATTTAGCTCATGTAAGTCGTAGATTTTGTTTGAGACCTTTAAAATTCTTTCTGGCCTCTTGGAGTTGTGACACACTGTCTTTGTCACCTTCTTCATTCTTCCTCCCCTCCTTCACCAGGAAAAGATGAAACCATAGTCAAATCTTAGGCCCCAGCTGGAACCTGGGATGGGTCCACACATTTACAAACACATATGTGTACATTTGCTTCTTTAAGGTAATATTTTGAACTGCCTCCAAGATTTCTGAGATAGTCACACAAATGGGATTGCACATCACTTCTGACAGGTTGCTGGTGAATTTAAATCCCAGGTCCTTATATCTAGTCTCGTATCCAAGGGTCAACTTTAGTTACCAGCTGAAGGTCCCATTTCTCGTCTGAGCACCTTAGAAGTTTTAGATGTGAAATTTACTCTCAAAAATGTAATAGCTCTGTGAAGTTGTGTAATTGCTTCTTTGATCAGAAGGCCCTTGCGGAGACGCCTGGAGAGACTGAAGTTCATTATTCTTACTGAATCTCTAGTTTTTATGAATGGTTTTCAAAACAGAGCTGGGCTCCATGCTTCTATTCTTGCCCCCCTATAATGGGATGGTTCTCCACACAGCAGGTGGAGGGATCTCTTTTCCCAACCAGATCAGATCGTGCCACTCTTTGTCCACAACCCCCTCTTTAAACTTAGAATAAAATCCATGTTTCCCTTGTGGTCTACAGGGCCCTGCCTGGAATGGCTCCAGCCTTCCTGTCTGGCTTCACCTCCCGCCTTTCTTCCTTCACTCCTGCCTCCCAGCCATGCACGCCTCCTTTCTCTTCCTTGGTTTTCTGGCTTGTTCTGACCTGAAGGGCTTGCATTTGCTGATCCTTGATGCTCTCCTTGCAGATCTCCACACATTAAAGCCTCTGCTTGTGTGTCTCCTCCCTGCTTCTTCCCGCATCCTGTTGATGGTGCCCACCCCTCCCCCATCGCTGTCCTTGCGGCACTGAAAGCTTTGTGAAATGCTGTTTGTGTACGTTCTCTCCCCACCTTCACGGAGGCATCCCCAGAGGGCCTGTCCTGGCTGTTCCCCCTACACCTGGCACAGTGGCATTTGGTAAATCATGTCAGTGAATGACTTACAGAACCTGAAGCTGCCGTTAGGAAGTAACCTGTGTTCCTTTTGCAGTGTTGCTGGGGACCCTTTTCAGCATCCTGCTGGTGACTGTGATCCTTATGGCATTCTGTGTCTACAAGCCCATTCGGCGTCGGTGACAGCCCAGCAAGCAAGTCCTTCCGAGAGCGTTTGGGAACAGAATAAGTTGTGTTGCTCATGGGTCAGTGGAGAAGTTGAATCAGAAATGTCCGGCTTGGAAACGACCTCTGGTCTGGACAGTTGGTAAATGCTGAATTAGAAGAAAACACCTAGCATGATCATATTCTAGCACTGTAACGCGAGCGTTTGGCCGCTGAGTCTGCTTCTCAGTGTTTCTCTTTAGATTTGGCTCTTCTTGTTAGAAGACCTGAAGCTCCAAGGTTCAGTGTAAAGATGGAGCGCTCATGAGAAAGAAAACATAACTTTGTGAGTGATGTGAAAACCACACTGGGAAGGACTAATCATTACTGTTTGAAAATATTAAGAGGAAGATTTCGCATGTAGATGTTCCCTACTTAAGATTATCATTTGGTCACAATGGGTTAAGAATCACAAATGTTTTAAATTATCTTGAGTTGGCCTAGAACGCTTCGTTTGCAAAGGACTGTCAGCTGTGGGGAGCGGAGGCCGCCACTCCGCATGCTGCACGAATCTCTGCACTCAGATCCTCGCCCTGAAGTCAAGGTCACACCAGGCAGGCCTATGAGCACAGGCACCCTTGGGCTGGAAGGCTCTGGGGTTGGGCTGCAAGTGTTAGCAGTCGGCCTGCCTGAAAAAGAACTCATCCTGCTCTAGCACATCCGTCTCCTTGCCTAGCCCATGGCCTAGAAGTTGGGTTGCTTTTCTGATCTGGAATCTGAAAGAGACTCAGCAGGAACTCTTTTCAGCCCTGGGTCGGGGAAGCGCAACAGAAATGCATGTTCACTGGACGAGGCAGAGTGGTCAGTGGGTGTGTGTTTACACAAATTTAATTTCAACTTTAAAGATGCTGCTATTTGTTTGCACTGTTGGTAAACTGGATTTTTTCCCCCTATGGAACTGATACTTTCATACTTACAGTATTTATTTTAAAGGTGCTAGGTTTAACTTTGTTATTAAATTAAAATGCTTATCTTGTGCTCCATTCAAGCACAGCACTGATTTTTTTTTTTTAACAACCTGTACTTAATGTGAAATAACCGATGTGGGATACTGTAACCGTTTGACTAAAGGATTTTGTTTGTAACCCTAACATTGAGCCACTGAAATGTTCACTGTTCTGTGCTTTTGAGCAAAATGTCAATTAAAATTAAAGTAAAATTGTATGTGCTGTTTTATGCCTAGTAATTATTTTCCAGGCCTTTAAAATGCAGGAGTGTGTGTGTGTTTGAGTCTGATTTAATCTCTTAAGGAAGCACTGTGAAGTGAGATTTTAAATGAATACGTGAAATAACACTACTGCCTCAAGGCAAAGTATTGATGAGTAATCTCAGTCTGGGCCGGGGGCCAGAAGACCAGGGTTCTTGTCCGAACTCCAGTTACAAAGAGCCTTAATTTCTCCAGAGCCTTGGTTTTCTCATCTGTGAAACCGTGATACCCACACTTTATCTTTATTACGGTGAGGATCAAATGATGTGAAGACCAACACAGATGAAGGTGAGGTCACCACAGCTGGCCTGTGCTCAGAAGCCCGGTTGGTGACTGGAGGGAGAAGGCAGAGTGGCTGGAACTCTGAGGGACTCCAGCACAGGCAGAGTTACGTCCCAGGAGCCCACATCCTCGCCTCATCTGGGATGCCACGTTTTGATGATATGCGGCCTAAAAACTTATTGCCATTTTTAGAATTTTAAGAGGAAAGAGTAAAAACTTATCAGGCCTTGGGACCTGCCGTTTGCACAGGAATCACCAGCCAGGTAACAGGATCATGTTCAGTTTTCTGGAGCAGTCTTGCGATAGTTACTCCACATACAAATCCAAAACCCAGCCTACATCTTCATCTCAGTGTTCACATCTGTTCAGTATGAGATTTTAAGTAGAAGTAAGACAATAATCTTTGCAGAATGAAGCTTATTTCAGAGAGATGAGTAAAAACGAAAACATCAGTCCCGGGAGTGAGAGGGACATAAACTGAAAACTTACATGCACCAGAGGTTGACCAGCTGCTACTTCCAAGTGGAATTATCCTCCTGACCTCCACCTTTAGGAGTGCAGGGAGGCGGTGGCCAAACCTCAGACTTCCTAAAGTAAACTGTACTCAGGATGCGAACACACTCAACTAATTTATACCAATCATAAAAACGAGTTACTTGAGCAAACACTAAACTTCGTTTAAAGTTGAGATTAAGAAGTATGCAAGTGGACTGTGGGACCTGAGATTAAGAAGTATGCTGCTTGAGATCAGGGGCTCTGGAGTGTTATTAGTAGATTACGTTTTTCCTAGCTGGACCTCAATCTTACATCCACGCCTTATTTCTAGCCATGGGCCTGGTTTGGACTTCGAACTCCATCAGTGAGTGCTCGGCATGCAGCCAGGTGAAGCGGCTGTCGTCCAGCTCATCTTCTTTGATGTCATCTGCATTCAGCAGGAAACTGGGGCCAAGCTGGTGGTTACGGTAAGTCTCTCTTTCCTGTCACTATTCAGAGCAGATTTAGCCACCTTGACACTTCGCGTAATGTAGGGTGCGATGAGCTTGTTTTGGGAGCAAGGATCTTAAAACTTTGTTACATGGTCATCCTTCGTATCTCAGGGCTCCACATCCACAGATTCAACCAAGTACAAATCAAAAATACTTGGGGGAAGAAACATTCCAGAAAGTTCCATAAAGCAAAACTTGAATCTGCCTCACACCTGCAGCTATTTACATAAGCATTTACATGGTATTTATAACTACTTACATTTCATTTACATGGTATCAGGTATGATACATAATCTTGAGATGATTTAAAGTATAGGGAGGATATAGTAGGTTATATGCAAATACCATGCCATTTTTATAGAAGGGACTTGAGCATCCAGATTTCCAATGTCCAGGGGGCATCCTGGAAACACTCCCCTGCAGATACTGAGGGATGACCACTTAATTCCTAGCAGTGTCTTATAGAAGTTGCTCAATTAAAGTTCACTGCTGACATTGGGCAAGCTTTAATAAACCCTAAACATAAAGTAATAAACTGTTAGTTTCATTAAATAACCCATAGGTATTACATCTCTTGACCTAAGGAAATCAACAGTTTTATTCATAACGCTCAAAAGTATTGCTATTTACTTTCCCCCAAAAGCAAAGCAGAGCCTTCACATCTGGAAATACCAAGGCCTCGCTTCTGGGGCCCAAACGTTCTTTTTACTGATCACTGCCTTTTTTGTTGTAATACCAGCATATTTAGGTATGAACTTCCAAGAACAGCCTCACAAAGCACTCAGGCTTCAACAGAGAGCGCAGATTTACTCAGATTAGGGAGATGTGGTGGTGGCGTGGCTTCCCACACTCCATAAGAGCCAGTCCCTCTGCAGGAGGAGGGCAGCAGAGGCTCTTGGGGCAGCCCAGCGCCCACGCCACTGGCTTGACTTTCCATTTAAAATGAGTAGCATGGGGTGTGTGGACTGTGCGACTTGGGCAGGAGGGCCGAGAGGAGCTGCCACCTCTGTCATACACAGAGTGCTGGCAGGCACTCCAGCATTCCAGTAACACACAAACAGGAAGTGACTAGAAAAACGTGAAGAGGAAAAAAGACTCGAAGGCTGTCTAGAATATTGTACGAGCACCCTCTCAGGAAGCAGTCTTTATTTGTATTTTAAGAGAGTGAGCACATACATGGAAAACGCTGTGACAGTGACAACGCTCAGTTCCTTTTTAACTGACTTTCTGGGGAGAAAGTCAAAGACGTGGGGAAGCAGAACAGTGGAATGCAAACAGAGAAATTACCTCCGTTCACCTTAGTACACGCTGTGGCCTGACTGCAGCCGCTCCAAGATGTGTCTTTGCTCAAGAGAAACGCTGAGTAAACGGAATGCCAGGCTGTGTATCTGAAACACACGTGATGCTGCGTGTACTGGCCTCGTGTGCAGAGGAAATTTTGGTCAGACCATGACAGGAAAGGCAGGTGGTTATGTGGAATCAAAAGCACAGCTCCTGGAACGTTTCACTGGCAGCGCTGACTAGATGAACAGACGTTACTGGATCGGTAGTCTCCCTTCCCATCCCCAAAGCAGTGCAACAGGACGGGGAACGGAGGCAAACCAGAGGAGGCTGTTACTAGGCGATGTCGGTGCAGCCTGTGGAATGAGTGCACGGGCTGGGCCGTGAGGGCGCCCTCAGCTGTATTCCCCAGGGTTCTGTATGCTGTGCGATGGTTATTTACAGGATTAGACAAAATAGTTAACTACTAAAGGTATCCAAAAAAGGCCTGAGAAAATCTGGTTAAAATGTATAACCTTGTATTGCTACTGATGGGAGTAGTCATTTTTATATCTTTTAAAAATAATAAAAAGATTCTGTTAAAAAATATATTTATCCAGAAAGATGTTGAACTCTAAAAAGCAACATGGAATCATCATTTTCCCTTTTGAATACAGAGCCACTGAGTTCCGCTTGTAGCTCCCTTTCTAATTTCAACTCCACTCCTTCCCTCCAGTGAGCCTAGGGGCACATGGTGGGGTCTTCCTGGGCTTCTGCATGGAGACCCTTCACTAGAGAAGGCGTGGAACACACCCCTGGTTTGGTTCTATGCTGTTCGGGTACTTTGGCCAGCCTACCCACTTCTAGAAGCCTCGGGGTCTCCTAGCTGCTCCTTCGGGGCCAGGATTAGCTGCCTTGGATTTAGCCTGGAGGATCCTGCTCCCAAAGAAACTGCCTTAGAAATTCAAATCAGATCCCTCGATACGTGGAGTGAGGTGGTTTGAAACTATTAGTAATTTTTAAGGCTAAGGCAACATCCGTTGTCATTTGTATATCTTAATTTGATGCAAATAGTTAACCCTAATCTAAAACAGATCCTGTACGTATCTCCTCTTCAGCTCTAGCTGGGGGTGGGAGGTGGAGACGGAGTAGGAGTGACAGTGTCCTAGAAACCCTGTATAAAGGTACAAATAAAAGAGCAGATCGGCACAGATGATCCATTTCTTTGGTGAACTGTAAAGAAGTGTCTCATAAACTCTCACACCACACTCTACAAAGGCTGCTGCTCTCATATAGAAAAGCACCCTGACTCTGCAAGAACTGGTTATCACTCCTTGATAAAAACTAATCTACAAACCTGCGGGGGGTCGGGGAATTGGGTTTTTATCTAAAGCTGGTAGTAAAAATGTGACCTGCAAGCCAGTACAGCTAATGGAAAGTGACGATGCTCTCCTCCCCTCGAGCCTGGAGGTGGGGCCCCGGTCCTCAGCCCCTTCAGCGGGGAGCGGCGTGGGTGGCCCCGGGAGCCCCCGCCCCGCACCTCTGCGTAAAGGAGGGGACAGCTGCCTTCTGCTGCGAACGTGCGAGGCGCAGCCCCTCGGCCCCGCGTGCAGACAGCGCCTCCGCGCAGCGTGGCGGCGGCCGGGCGGAGGCCTACTTGTCGGTGAGAGACAGCTGTAAGACGTGCTGCAGCTCGGCCTCCTCCTCCCGCAGCCGCAGCTCGCGCTCCTCCAGCTCTCTGGCGGAGAGCTCCATGGCCAGCTGCAAGTCGCTGTCGAAACGGCTGGTCTCGCTGGAGTCGCCCAGGCACAGGCCTTCTGAGCTGGTGAGGAGGCTCTCCTGGATGGCCCTGAGTTAGAACAAAAGGAAGGAAGAGATACGGTGACCGACATCATGATTGTGGCGGCGGCAGCAGCCACATTTCTCATCCGCGCACCCAGTGCACGCTGTCCCCTTCACACACACACACACTCCGTGTGCACGGAGCCCTCGGTCCCACGTAAGGGGATGGAGGTACTGTGTGTGGTGAAGCTAGGAGCTGAACTTGGATCTGTTTTAAAGCAAAGCCCAGGTTCTTCAAGCAGTTTTCATGTGCCCCAACCACAGGAAAATGCTTTGTAAAAATAAGTCTTTCCAGTTATTCCTCCCTTTTAAAAAAGGATAATCTGATCCTCTCGTAGCCTTTCCCCAAAGGGTCCTCACCCTCAGAATTGTATAAACTTCGCATTTAGGGCACCCAGACCCTCTGTGATCATACATTCTTCACAGAAGAGCAGGCCAGTCAGAAAATACTGACGCGGTGCCCCTCTGCCCACAGCACTGGCCAGTACGCTGGTCAGCAACTCTATCACCGGTTCCTGGAAGCTCAGCCACCAAGAGTTCTGAGCTAATCCGAGGAGTAACTGCCACAGGAGGAAGCGGGAGAAAGACACTCGGTCAAGTCTCTCCTGTCAGGGACACTGCTGCCAGCCTCGGTTTAATCAAGAGTCATGTCAGTCACCTCTCATACTGGGCGTCATAGGCATATGTCTGGCCGATCCCTCCATTAGAAGCTGGTCCTGAAAGTTCCTAGGAAAAACCAACGTGAGGGACATGAATACCCCTTAGAAGGAACAGAGTGTTGTACCGATAACAAAATGAGAGCAGCAAGAACAAAACTGCAAATGTTTACGTGTCCATTACTGACAGTAAGAACTTACAGGGACCGGGATTAGCTCCAAAATGATACCCAGTTGTCACCCAGCATACAGTACGCTGCCCTGATTAACAGCTCCCACCTTCTCATACTTGATATCAAGTCAGTCTATTAAAAACAACTGAACCTTAGGCGAAGTTTATATGAACAAAGCAGGCAATTCTTTCAGAGCAAGACTGGAACGTAATTCATTATTTGCTGTCTTTGACTTCGGCTACTCCTCTTTTCAAAATTTACAAAAAGCAAGGTTTACGCAGCCACTGGGGGCAAAAGTAAGCTCACTTACAACAGGGGAAGGAAAAGTATGCCAACCTGACAGTGGTGTCTGGGGAGAGTCGCCTCTCAAGGGGTATGTGCCAGCCCTGGGGTCTGGCCCTTGGCCCAGCAGACTGAGAAAACTGAACGGCTCTAAGAATGCGTCCACAGGAAGTGGAGGGGAGATTTCGTGATTATGCCCCTTACAGCAGAATGAAACATTCGAGTAAAAAGAATTTTTTAACAGTGAATCAACCACCCTCTTCCTCATACACTATGCAATGAGCGGTCTTCCTTGAGGAGAAGTCGGGATTAAAATCCACATACCTTCCTATGAGACTACTGACAGATAATGTCCTGGGGGAAACATGATGGTGTAAACTCGCAAGAATTTCCTGTTTCAGGACTGGGAAATTACATCGCTCACTCCAAAAGATACACAATTATTAGCTACACGGGTGAACGTGAGGAAAAGACAAGTCTGTTGGGCGACATCCTGTGAATGATGGTGACTGGGGCTACGCAGATGGTCTCATATAATACGCTTTTGTAAAAGACCAGGTGCATAAACTAGAAAATAATCCACGTAAATAGCACAAATATGCCAAACTTGTCATCTAGAGTAGGGCTGTCAGGTTAGCCAAAGGCTGAGGCCAGACTGGAGGGTAAAACCTTCCATGCACGGCCGCACTTTCTGATAAAAGCACCTGGCTTCTGCTGGACTCCAGTAAACTCTGCTGGATGGCAAACTGCATTATCTCGTAGTCTTCGTCCTGCAAGTGCACATTTCTGCCGTTGTCTTGAACGTGGTAAGATTCGGGGATTTCAAACACAGATTGATCGACCTCAAAGTTTGCGAGGGGGGAAGCTGCAACACAAAAGGTGACGGGCCAGTGCCTGAGCGAGTGAAAGAACTGTCCTCAACTTTTTATAAAAGTTTTTTAAAGTAAAAAAAAATGAGAAGATTAAAATGATTAAAATCAACATTGGCTACTATGTGAGATAGATTTTGAGAAAAAATAATCTTGACCAAGAAAAGTACCAGAACACTGCTTTTTCCTTTTTGCCTTGAATATGTTTTTAGTAATGCATAGTCTTAAAAAAATTACAGAAGCCTGTAGGATGAAAAGTGAAGCTCTCTCTCGCTTCTCCTATTTCTAGATTCCCGTGGTAACCAGTGTGTACTTCTGTGTCCTTTGAGGAACGTGGGGGGGGGTGTGTATGTGTCTATATACACAATCACACCAATGTGTCTTCATTTTTTCCTTTTTTATTATGAAATATAGTAAACATGTAAAATAGTATATAAGATAGCTGTCAACTTAGAATAAAAAATGATAATAATAAAATAAATGCCTGTATATCCTTCAGCTAGCCTAAGACACAGAACACTATTTTACCACGATAAAAGAAACCGAAAGAAGTTCAATTACATTTCGATATACTAGCAATGAGTAACTGGAAAAAAAATCTAAGAGATAAGTCCATTTACAATAGCATCCAAAATCTGAGTTGGACTGATGGCAAAGGAGCCCGAGGAAATTGGGGTGAGGGGGACAGGGACGGCTGGAAATGTTCTATATCTTGCCTGTGGTGGTGGTTACATGGATGTATACATTTGTTAAAATGCACTGAACTGTCCCAAATGGGAGCATTTTATTACATATGTGTTACACCTCAGTAAAGGTTTTTAAGAGTATGCTGTCTTTTTAATTCAAGTGGGGTCATACATATTCTGTGTTGTCTTTTTCACTTAATCTAAACTAAATCTAAAATTTTCTTTCATTCAAGACAGAGATCCACTTCATAAGATATTCTATAATTTCAAACAATAATTAGTATAATGACTAAATGTATGAATTTTTTTTAAATCACAAAATCTTTTTTTTTTTTACCTGAATCAGGCTCGGTCCCTTCTGCATTTTGAGACACAGTTTCTTCAGCAGTACTGCAGCCATTAACGTTTCCAAATGTAATCCGTGCATTTAAGACATGAAACAAGGGAATTTCTAACAAAATAAAAGCTTTTATAAATAAACTTTACTGAGAAGAAGACTAGCCGTCATTTGCTGAGCGCTTACAACGCTGGCACCATGCCAGGTGCTTTTTACAGATATGATTTCATTTAATCATCATAACAACCCTTCCCAATACACAGATGGGAGGAATGAGATTCACAGGTTAAGCCACTTCTCCTCCATCACAGAAAGTGATCAGGCCAGGATTCAAGTGTCAGAACTAGACAACTATACTCAGTGTGAATTCCTCACAAGTAACGTGCATCGTATATAGTATTTTACCTACTAAGTCGAGCCCTAAAACATACTTATATATAGAAGGAGCTTGATGTCGTCTTCCTCAAATAACCGCCTAATCTGAAGTTTCACTTAAGGAAGGTCTGACATTAAAACAATGAATGTGTCGCATTTTCTGCCTTTTTTTTTTTATCTGTCAGCACCATCTGTAAACAGAACTGATGGTTGGGCAATCTCCTAATTTCGATGTGCAAAACGAACTAAGAATCATGACTCGTCCTTGAACCAGATGAAACCACAGGGTAACTCTGCCCTCCTCCGTAAGTCTGCTGTGCGCTACTGCCGCCTCAAGTGCTCCGATCCCCTGAAGTGCACTCTGTCACCCACAGAAACGGGCAGCACCTACAGGTGCTCCAGTGGTGTATTTAATGGTACCTATTTTGACAGGAAATCCAGGTGGGAATTCCAGCTTGATGAAATCTCTCAGTCTGGCGAAATGAGCGCTAGTTCGGGCCATCAGGTCGATGATGGGAATGACCTGCTCCACAAGCGACAGAGGGAAGTCCTCACACATCCACAGTGTCGCTTTAAACCTGCCGGGTGTGATGAGAGAAGGCTGAGGCCATCCCCACAAGACAGGGAAACTCAGGTACTTGGATGCAGCAGGCCCGACAACACCAGCTTCCTTGCTCCACGTTCTTCCCAGTTATCTGACACCCTCTCAGTCAGAGTTGTGAAGGGACTAGAATCATAAAGAACTTGCATCACCCTGAAATCTGGCAGTCGGGGCAAAAACCTGCATGACAAGCCTTAACTGAGAGCAAGCTGGACAAGCTGACAGCTGGCGGAAACCGTTTCATCTGATCAGCTGAAGCTTGTCAGCAGTGTAAAGAAATAAAGAATTCTTGTATCTGATCTATATTCTATTTGGAGAAGGACTCATATTAAGATGGGCAATCTACTGTTAGCTGCCATCAGGTAAAGTAATTTGAAATTATTTTTAAAGGAAGGGGTCAGAATAAGGACCGAACAGGACACCATAAAAAGCACAACTTCTGAAACAAACAAGAATCCAGAAGGTGAAACACGGCCGCAGCATCTCTCTTACTTTTGTGTCCTGATGGTCAGCTCTTTCGGCCTTCCGATGTCCCTGTCTTTCAGGTCAAACTCCTCGTTGAAGTACTCGTCGGGTGTGATCGCTGTGGGGTTGTTGGCGGTGGCACGTTCTGTGGTGAGATCCTGCCGAGCCAGAACTCAGGGGAGTCAGAAATGCCGAGTAACGCAGACAAGTGAGGCCTAGGGCACCCAGGCTCTGAGGTGGACATGCTAACCAGCTACAGAGTGGGAGGTTCTCGTCATTAACTTTGTTTTTTTTGATTATGTGACCACACAGAACAAGAAAATCTACAAAGGTGGTACCAAACTACACAGCCAAGTCTAATGGATTTCTCCATTTCAAATCACTTCTCCACTCTCCTTTGCATTTCACGTGATTATTGTGAGGATCAAGTAAGAAAATGTTCGTTAAGGTGCTCTATTAAAATATAAAGTCCTGAATCCTTTTTTAAATTCCATTTTTGTAGAGAGGTCCGAGTTTAAAAGAGAGGCGCTGAAGCACCTGATTTCTACATAATTGCTACCCGCCTCTACAATCTTTATTTTCAGAGACTCACTCATCTAATTCTCTTCCCAAAGAAGATCTCGGATTCCAGCCGGGGAGTACTCTTAAGCTTTTTCAAGTAGAGCAGCCTGCTCAGGAGGCAGTAAACACCATCACAAGCACAGAAAAGCCATCTTTTGCACTGTGCTGGAAACTCACGGCTTCAACTTACCCCTTGAGCACCAAACTGGTGTTCCACAGTTCCCAGCAAAGATTCCAGTGGGTTCCTGTCCGCTGCAGAGAGGGGAAAAGTTTAATGTCTGTCTAGTATCATACCTTACTTATGAGTACAGAAAAAGACTGTCAGCCTAAAGCTTCTCCATCATGCGTTAGGAAACCCACTTATGGACAGGCCGATAGACTCATTCTCAATAATCATCAGCTAACTTATCCTTCAGAGGACATTTTTTATTAGGTTCTCTAAACTAGATGAACAACAGTTACAAGAATTAAATCAGAGTAGCAGAAAGAGTTTGGATTTAAGAATGAGCCAGTTCTGGACCTCACCGGCACCTTGGCTGGTCCCTACCCATGTGTCCGAGGCCTGTTTCCTCATCTGTCAAACTGGACTACTGGGAACAGTAGTGGCGGCGGGAGTTAACCATTACCACGTGCTGACCACACTGCAGGCCCCAGTCTAACAGTTTATGTAAATATCTCATTTAAGCCCCCTGCTAACTCTAAAGGAGGGCTGGTTCCGCAGTGGGTAACTCCAAAGGCCACCAAACCGGCCACTGGCCAGCTGGGATATGGCAGCCACATACTGGTCATGTTTTGGCTCAGCACCCAACTTCTGTCCAAAAACTTCACTGTGATAGTTTGGAATAAATCACTCATTCCAGTGATAAACATTCTCCTATATCCTTAACTGCTTTCTCAGCCGAATCCAACAATTATTCTTCGTAACACATAAATAAGCCTTTGTGAATGGCTTTCATTACAGCTGAAGTCAGCTATAGGGGAGTACCTCCAACAATGAGTCAGACTAAGGAAAATTTTATAAAAAGGGAATTAGAATTAGCATGACCTAATCACATTAACCCCCAAATTTAACAAGAGCCACAAAGGCTCCCTCTAGGCTAAAGCAGGGAGGAGAAGAGAGATTACCTTTATATCTCTTTTTTTCCTCTTCGGTTAGATGCTCTGTCCGTATTTTGGTGATCACACTCACATTGTTCACTGTGTAAACCTTGAGAGATGTGTGCAAAAGGGAACCGTGACACAGGGAATCAAAACTCAGAAAGTAAGCATAGCAAGAGCAAGAATGCTGAAGCCAAAAAAAAAGAAAAATCCAGCAAAATAAAAATGAGAAATGGTTAACATTTATTAGGACCCTTCAGAGAAAATACACAGCTACCAACTGAGAAATGCATCAGCAGTTACTTTGCATCTAACATTTTAAATGACTCCCAAGGAGTTAACAGCGACAGGCTGCACCTTCCTACTTGCCCTTCTTGTTGCTAAACCCTCTCAGAGAATGTCCTGTGATTGGCTGGCTGGCTTCCTACTTAACCAAAGTACCCAGACCTGCATTGAGTACCTGGACTGCTCTGTGGTCCTCTTTCTTGTAAGACTGACTTAGACAGCCATCTGCTGGGCAGGAGGGGAAGAAGGAACACAAGGTTCCCTACCCGGTAGGATTTAGAGAAAACCAGCAAGCCACTATTTAAAAGGTATTCCATATATTGACCAAAAATTATTTCAACTGCCAGGGTCAATGCTCTGTTTTCAGGGTTGACTGAGGAATATGGAGGGTTGGAAAATCAAATCCCAACGTACAAAGATTCAGGAAACGCACTGGAAGGACTATTTCCAAATGCATCCTGCTGAGCATGACGTAAGGCTCCTCTGCTGACTCGGAGGTCACCAGAGGACCTGCAGCTCCTGGCCCCATCCCTGCGAGCCATCAGTCCCCGCTGTACTGCAGGGCTCACGAAAAGTCAGGACACAGCTTTCCAGCTGACACAGCGCCAGATGACTCGATCAACTGTCATCTCCACTATGACAACTATTTTCTAATTCACTGACGTCATGTTAAGTGGGCTGTAAGCCTACTGGTTACAATTAGGCTGACTAAAAAAAATTGGGGGACTCATAAAAGCTACTTAATTTTTTTTTAACCCACTCAGGTTATCCAAAAAGATGAACAAGCATTTTAAATCTAATTCTCTCTCTCTCTTTCTTTTTTTTTTTTAAGAATGAAAGGAATTGCCAACCCTACCAGGACAACTGGTAGCTGTACTCATTTCTCTACAGCACTGTTTTTCTCTTTGGCATAACTAGAGATCTCCTCAGGACATGCTATCCCATTTTCTGAAAGTCAAAGAAGGGTATAATCCAAGTAAGAGACACACTAGACAGAACTTATTCCCCAGAGCACCTCATGGCACAGACGCATGACAAAATCGGAACAGACTCCTCATTTGCATAGAAGCTAAATAGCTATATTAAATCTTATTTTAAGAGTTTCCTTTTACCTTTGCTTCGTAACCATTAACAACTTCTGCTTTATCTGTCCTCCAGCCCCAGAATCCGGATTTAGTTCTGATAAAAAGTGAACACCACAAATTTCTACATGTACAATATGCCATTCAGATTTATCCCTGCAGCCTTTATAGTTTTCTTCCCCCAGCTTAATTTAGCGAAGGACACTTGGAAATTATGGCCCTGTTGTCCACAAAAGGATGTTATTAATGACAGATGGCTCAAGCACCCCCCCACCCACCTCCCCACAGTTATTAATCAGTTTGCCTCACCCCTGGCATAGAAAGCCTCCATTCTTGGCTTCTTTACAAAAACTGCCGACATGGGCGACAAAGGTGGTGACATTTATTGGACAGCTGTCCTAAAGTAAGTGAAGAGGACCAGTGTTCAAGGGCTGGCCACTAGGCGGTATCTGGGCCAGAGCATTTATCTGGGTCATCCTAACTGTGGACACGGATGTCAGTGGCTCTAACTCCATAAGTAGCCGTATTTCAATCGAGGAATTCTTAGAACAATGAGGCCACAGCCATCCTGCTCCTCAGGAGAAAACAGGTGGGGCAGGGACTCATCACTGTGGAGAGCTGCTTGCAGAAGCCATGAGTGTCTGCAAAATGGCTTGGGAGTCATGCATTTTATCAGGTTCGGTGCAGCAGGGGGAAAGAATGTCAAAAGCAGTTTTTCAGCCCGGCTGTTGAGTCTAGCCCTGTGGACCTGCTTTTAAAGTAGCCCAGCATTTCAGGAGCAGCTGCAGCACTGGTACAGTGCCTGAAAACCCAGTTACTTAACTCAGTATACTCCTGGAAAATTTAGGAACCAAAAGTGGCCGAGAAGCTCTGATTCTTTTTCAAAGCAGCTCACCCTGGAAAATGCTCCCACTCATGGGGCAGCCCTGCCCAGACTGCCCCCTTGTCTAGGACATCACATCCTAGCTCCACTGTGACTGCTGCACTTGGCCGTGCTGGGCCACTGCCTCCTGCTCCGACCCCGGAGTGAAGCAGGACCCCACTCGGGAAGCTCCAGGAATGGTGGCAGGAATGCGGTTATCTGCAAGCTCGCTTTTCTTCTCCTAATGGGATTTGGTAAACGAAAGCAGTCCAGACAAGGTCTAAGCAGTTTTCTGTGTATATTACAGTATATCAGAGAAAGGAGGGACCAGAGCTTTCATTTTCCTATTCGTTATCCACAGTCAGTACAACGTGACCCCTGGAGGGAGAGAGGAATCCTAAAGAGAGGACACCACATGCGAGCTGCCTCCAATTCACATTCCAAAAACAAGAGAACAGTCCCATGGGCAGGGAGTGAGGGACCACACCTGACTGACTGATAAACCAGTGATCAATGAAAATCGAGGTGTTCCTTTTGGTGAAGGAATTCAATCCTCAGTTCCTGTCTTTCACTAGGTACTTGGTATCTTGGCAAGGGAAATCATGGTTCTCTGGTGCACAGTCTTCTGAGGGACCCAAGGATGACGAGGTCTGCTCCACTTCATCCTTCACGGATGTGGAAAAATCAGAGCCGCACCTTCTCCCTGGGAACCGCCGCACTCCTCACTCACCTCCACCTGCTCTCTCCGCCATCCTGGCTGCTCCACTTCCTCTCCCACATCCACTGTATGACAGTTTAGCTACTAAACTCAATGTCTACATCCCATTTTAAAACCAAGAGACAACTCCTTGGTGCCTCAATTAACCGTACATGCAGAGGCATCCGAAAATGACAGGAGAAAACCCAGCATCCTCTTTTGCCATCTTCCCCTCTGCCTGTGTCCACTGAGACCACCACACCAAAGGCCACTGTGCAGGTGCTGGTACCCGGAGGCTGCTAAACAATGTGGAGAAAGGCTCTGCAGGTGGCAGGGAGTGTTTTAAGGTAGACAGAGCAGGATCTTTGAGAGGAAAGAAAATCCAGACTGCAACCAGAAGGTATATATCTGCAGGCCAAAAGTTCATGCAGGAAGAGTATTATTTTGTAAGCACTAAGTTCCAAGTTACAGATTAGAAGAAAGAAATGGATGAAAATGACTATTGTAATATAAGACAGCCACACCTTCCAGATTTAATCATACAAATGCTCGCTTACCCTGCCAGAAGAAGCAGGCAAGCACACTTTTTCTATCAGCAGACCTCACCCTCAAGAGTGGCCTTCTTGTCCGAGGCATGAGAAGCTCCCTGAGCACATGTTTAATTCTGAACACCACTAAAAACAGGTGTCTTCTAGAAATTCTCTCTCAGCAACCCACTATTGGTTGCAAAAGGAGGGTTAGCCTGAACCATCTGAAAACCTTGTGACCACAGGAATACAAAATGCGACCTGGTCTCAGTACAGACGGAGGGGCTGTCATTGCCCATCTATCCTCCACTGGGTAACAGCCAGTAACCATCACGCCCTGTGTAATTGACACTTCAGAGCAAACGATGATGCTATAAGTCTGCTGCTGAACTAGAGAGGACAGTGGCTCTTCTCATGACATCTGAGACTTCATCTTGAGATTCATTCATTTTTTTTTCAGCTGAGGAAACAGAAACCTGGAGAGATGGAGCCAGCTGCTCAAAGCCACACTAGCAGCCCTGCCGATGGGGCCAGGTGCCTCCAACTCTGGTCTCTGCTGCTGCCCGCAGCCAGGAGGGCAGCCTGCCCCACCTTCCAGCTTTACGAACAGAACACTAAGCCAACGGGCCCTCCTGGTGTGTGGGAGTCTAGAGATGTCTTCCCAGGACCCTTCCAGGTAAAGCCACCATCCGTCCCTAATCCTGCTGCCCCTGGAAGACAGCAGCTGTCACCGGGAGAGGCCGGTGTGAGGAGGCGGGCACTAAGGGACTGACCCTGCCTGGGGGGTGCTACCAGCAAAGCTGCAGCAAACCTGGTGTTTCTCGTCTGCTATCAACAGGCACCCTAATTCCACGGCCTGATCTCAATTAGGGGAAAGGGGCACTTAGGTCTTACATCTGACTGAACAGAAAACTCAGTTTTATTTTATAAATTGTATACTGGAAACAATGAAGAAAAGAAAAAGAGAAGATTTAGTATATTGAATAAGAGAAAAGCAAGCCTAAATCCGGGAGGACGCTGTCCATGTTAGCTCACGTTACACTGCTCTGCTCTACAGAGAGCTGGGTGTGACATCCTAGCCACTCAGGGCTCCTCCAGACTGCCTTGGTTCAGTGTGTCTATGGTAGAAACACTCAGGCTAACACGGTGACAGCCTCCACATCCCTCACAAAGGTCCTCCCCGCCTCGGCGCGGCCCAGAGGCAGATGCCCAGAGACGGTGTCCTCATCTGGGTTACCGGAGGCACAGACCTCTCCAGGAGTTTCCTCAGGTAGTCTGGAATAAAACTGAAACCCCTCCAGACTCTTGCTCTAAACTATCAGGCCTCGTGTGGAAGCAGGGGGTAGACAAGGGGGAGAACCGCGTTTAACTGTATGATAAGCGTGAATCTCACTGCCTAATATCAGTATAACCGCTTTCAGTACTGGGTCGATTCTGCCTCGGAAGCTCAAAGCTCCATGGTTCGAGACTAGGGAGTTTTGTGGATTGCCAGACACAAAAATAAAATTCAAGTCAAATCCATTAGAAAGGGCCCATAAAAGAATATGAAGACGTTTCTTCAAGACTTAACAATGTGCTATAAAAATGATATGCTGTGGAGGATGTCAGCTATGGTTTGTTCAGTTAGAGCAGAGATCAGCTTTAAAACCCACTGGTGTTTATTATGCCATATCAGAAAAATCCCAATCCACTCATAATTTCCAGTTAATATATACATGCCACTAAAGATGGCAGTAAAAGGATTAGACATTAAAATGCAGAATCTAAATCCATACCTTTCAAAAGCAATGTTTTTAGTGTCAAGGCTGGTGTTAATGACTGGGCTTGTGAGCCGCCTCTCAACCTCCCTGCTTTTCGGCTTCATCAAGTCCAGAGTGAGGCGCTCCATTTCCTGGGAAAGGTCAAAGTGTTCAGTAGTGACCACTTTGTCATCGTGGTTGACTTCCATCAACTCCGCCCAGTTGTCTGTTAATAGAAATGAGAACAGCTAAGCACAAGGCAAGGAGAAGGCAGAAGCAACCTCATATGGCAGATGCGCCATCTTTCCCGTCCCCTCTGCAGGCACCATCTGATGAAACCTGAAGACCACTGACTAGCGACTGCCTACTTGCCCAGGAATGATCTGGCCAACTTTCCATAATCAGAGGAAGCTCTGGGCCACCTGCCCCAGAGACGCAGACTTTTAAAATAATTTGCATTCTGTGTTAGCAACACATTTCATCTGTGTACTTCTTTACATATATGACTACATAATTAATGTAAATTACTTGTGCACGACACTGGGTCAGCCATGCCGTTTCTCCCCTCCACCAGGCAGGTCGTGCTTGGTTATGGAGGGAAGAGGAAGAGATGTAAGACAGAGCCAGCCTTGTGCTCAAAGGTTCAGGAACGTAAGACAGATATATGTCAAGAGGGTAACAGTGTTGGGTGGTACATGATATGTGCAAGAGAACTACCTAGACAAGGAAGAAGATGTAGGAGCTGAGAGCTGAATATTTAACAGGAATAACCACCACCACGACAGAACACGCCCCAGACAGGCTCAGATAAGGCACATCAGTGGGAACACATTTCAATGGTTAAGAATCGCTCTGGACTGAGCAAGAGCAGTGATTACTGCAAGAAAAACACTCACCTTCTCCCTTAAATATAAAACTCCGCCTCCCTCTTATCCAGCTCATGTTCTCAAATCCCAGCAATGTGATATCCACGCGCAGTTTGGCACCACTTTTCCAAATGCGACAGACATCATTCGGGCATATTCTGGAAACCAAGGGCACTGGAGAAGAGGAGTACTATTGAG